AATTGACATGAACATTAAGTCAAAGCGACGTTAAGAGGGCGGCGCGAATCTTCGGAATTCTCTTCAAAGTGGAGTAGGCACTTTCTGCGACAGGAAATTTTTCTTTTTTTCCGCTCACCACGAGGAAATTTCATGGGCATTAGATAATGGAAGGAGAGGTTTCTTCATTACTCATGGTGGAAAAAGCTCAACCTCAATCAACCTGTTCCAGTCAATCCTCTCGATTCAGAGTCGTGAGAGTAGTTGAACGCTCTTTTGCTATGTACAATGATTTTGAGGGAAAACAGTAAAATCGCCTGGCTAGAAGCTTTCAGAGCTCGAGCTAGAAGAAGCTTACAATACAGTGACCGATGAAAAAAATTGACTTGACTTCCGAATCTTGGTTATGCATGTGCACCTAATACAGTTCTATTGTTTGAGCAGGATAAAAGTATAAAGTCTTGAAATGTTGAATGACCCCGTAGGGAGGAATCCACCCACGCATTCGACTTCTATTCAGAGTATTGAATGCGTATGTGGACTATACAATGACTAGCGATCGAATGCGATCGATGTGATCAGTCGATGTATGTACAACTCAGCACTTTTATCCTCCCAGACGAGTCTGGTGCCACCTAGCCGACCCCGGAAGGAAGGAAGCCTTGGTTGGATTAGGCGGATATCGAGATTAAGAGAAACGATTTCCGAGAAAAATAATTTATTCTTAGAAACCTTATTAGCTAAGGAAATTGAAAAAATGGATCCTTGACTCATTCTCCTTCCTTATCCTAGATTTGATTGCAAGTTTATTGGGCTCGCTTTTGAAATAGGAGGCAATAGCACAGTCCATAAGTGACAATTATGGACCTTGAAAAGCAGTGTAAGGTCATTGGTAAACAAGAAGCTTGGCACAAAACTGTGTTTCCTCTAAAGTTTTTGAAGTTAGAGACACGGAATCGTAAATGCCTACTCATCTGGAAGATGATAGAAGGACAACTTTAACAGTAATATGAGCCTTACAACGCGCAATTCGCAATGTAAGGAGAATTGGTAAAAGTCGTGAACTGTTCCGATTTAGAAATACGTTAGAAATGTTGCCGCATGGGCAACCATGGACGGACACAGACTGAAGAGCATCGTAAAAGTCGGCATGAAATGATAAGAGATTTCGGTCAACTTCAACCATCTGCTTTAAACGGCGCTCGTAAAGGTAGTTCATGATTATTTCGAACCGAGGCAGGCATTTCATGAGCAGGATGAGTCCTCTAATTTTGAGGTCGGATGAGGATGGTTTAGATAAATTCATGAAGAACCCAGTCGCGATTTCTTCGACTGAGTATGGTTTTTGAATCGGGTGAAAGGTTTCCTGAGTGAATACGTAGTTTAAACGTGCAATGGTATCCCAAATAGCCCTTCGTCGTAACACGTGCATTCACTAGGAGCCTCGAACCTCAGCAAGGATAATGAGAACTCTGGTCGGTAAGCCCCAAGTTCATCCCACCTACTCTGAATCTGAAGAGAATAATCATGTTGAACCGTCAACGCAGTGAAAATTGCATACAAATTTTGTGGAGGAATCAAGAAAACCAACTCATTACAGAGTAATCATATCGAGGTTTGTAGAAAGCCGTATGCGGACTATGGGGTCGTATCCATTGCATAACCAAAAACCCTTGGCGTTGTTTTGTTCCCCAATGAAGCTTCAGAATAGCGTGAGTTTCCCTGTCTTGAACCTTCTCCCTGTTACTAATTCACGAATCACTATCACAAGTAGACTTCGAATAAATTTCCGAAGGAGATCTTAAGGAATTTGGGAGAAAGTGACACCTTTTATGGTCTTTACGCCATTTAAACAGCGTTTTAGAATAGAAAAGTTGTTGTCCTTCATCTATCTTTTATCTCTATAGCTTAATTTTGCACTATTCCTTCATCTGTTCCTGTGGACATGTCCTTTCCACTACGATTCTGGCAGTGGAACTTTGGTCAAAGTATTGGGCTTTAGATGAACCAGAGAGAGATAGGAACAGTATGCTCGTAAAAGATGCTTCCATAGGTTGTCAACAACACAACAATTTTAAATCAAGCCTACCCATGATGATGACCAGAGGGTGAACATGAAAGGAAATCTACTCAACTCAGAAAGGAATCAAAGCCCATGAATATCGAGAATATTTGTGAGAGGTTCGTGATGTTATGATAATTACCTACTGCTCTGTAGAAATTAGATAAAGCAACTTTTTGACGAGACAATGCTTCGTAACAGCCATCTAACAGTTTTTGAAAACCTTCTCACCAGGTAGCCCAACGAGAATGTCCTGGCGTCAGTCGTAAAGTGCTCACATCCTTGTCCAGAAATGCGTTCGAGCCGACTTGATGAGGGTGTTTATATCGAAACGTGAGAAACGTAAAAAATTGTCCCACCTATGACATATAGTTCTAACGGCATGAACTACGATTCTATTTTCCAACAATAGGGAAGATAGAGGCTCTCTACATAGGGAGGTAATCAGCTAGGACTCCGCTGTTGGTCGTTTTCATCCCCTGGTGCTTTCACTTGTGGCTCACTAACGAGTCCTGAGATGATTTGATTCATCGAAGAAATTCCTCATACCCGAAGCGTTCTCAAAAAATTTTGGCTTTTCTCCAGCAAGGAAGTGAAGTCGTAGCGTTCACAGCTATGTATTTCGACTGGCACCCACTGTCAGCGACCGGGATTCCATAAGAGAGTATCTGAAAGCTCGGAAACTGCTTCAGGTGGAAATCTCGTAGGCCAAATTAAGGCCCAACTCGAGCTGAACAATTTGAGTAGGCGTCTGAATATTCTTGGCTCCTATTTCAGCCTATATTCAGTTCTTTAGATGCCTTCTAAATTTGCAAATACATTCTCGATTTCCTCACATGCTTGACGCTTGAACACTTTGAGTTCGCCTTTTCGAATTAGATCGTTCTCGTACATACAGTAGCGCTCAAAAGTCTTCGGTTAAATGCTTTGACGCTTTTTCGTTCACAACTTTTTTCTTAGTAAACCATATCGCGCTAAATTTGGATATGTTCAACTAGAGCATATTTTACCCTACCCAGCACTATTTGACTGCGAAGCTGCAATATCCACAGATAGAGCAAGGTCTCTGTTGAGGTAGCAGATTTTGTTGTTGACGTCTGCACTTATTCGCACCTTATGTGCGTTTTTCTCATCTATTGTGTTCGGCGTTACCGCTCGTACACTTGAGGCATGACAAAAAGGAAAGAGTTTCCAAAAGGACCATCATCTGTATTCTCAGTCGATTCTGAGTTCATGCTATTTGGAATATCTGGAACATAATCAGATTGCAGGTTAATAGTGGTAAATATTCATCATACATCCACGCTCCAAATATAGAATTTCGCATGATTAGATCCAGTAGGAAAGGAGTTACGATTGAAAAGTCCGGCTGAAGAGCCATTTCATCGAAGACTTTTGAGCGCTACTGTATATTTGATCGTTTCTCGTTTAGATAGCCTTCGCCGATGAGGGAAACTTGAAGTAGAGCTCTTTAGGGTGATTGATTGCCATCCACATGACTACGAAATACTTGTTGTCAAGGTGCTATTAAATTCGAAAAAGTTACCATGCACCACAGTTGCCTAATCCTATGCACCTATTAAGAACTACTACATAGGTACTGCTGTTTGAACAGAATAGAGGAACAGTTATCTAGTCAAAAGCATTACTGAAATGGGGCGGTGTAGCAGCAGAATGGAATTAACAATTGACCCTCGACAGCATCTTATCAGTCGAATTTCGGGCTGTAATGCTTATCGCCTAATTCACAAAGCAAATAACGAATTTGTGGAACTCTACCGCGACGGTATAATTTATGTGTTGTAGCAGCTAGTTCTATACCACATATGCACATGGTATGTACTTGAACAAGTATCGCTTCCACAACAATACCTCCAGAACTGCGGTCACTTTTGGCATTTTGGTTTCTTCTCTTAACTCCTTCTCCAGTTCTGACAATACTTTTATGTACCATCTACGAGAGACGGAAAAACTGTGAAACACACTTCACTACTGACTAATTTTGGGATCAAGAAACGATTCAAACGATTTACTCGGCTTCCGCTATGACCTTTTTCTCAAAAGTTCGGTCAAAATTCTTGAGAAAAATTCAATTCACGGAACTTTTCAGAAATCCCAGAAACGCTCCACGACAGAAGCTAACTCGAGAGAAACGCTTCTACTCGCTTTAGAAATACTATGTATGAGATATGAATGACATCAGTTTTCCTAATTTATGCTTGAACTAGTAATTTACTTACCTTCCTTTTGACTCTTTACTCCACATTTCACATGTCTTATATGTAGTTTGATTTGAAAGATGAAGAAATACAAGAAATGAGGAGTCGAAACAGTCTTATCAATTACTTTTACCTAATTCTCCTGTACTGCCATAGCGAAGTGCTCTTATCGTTTCCAAAGAATTTGAAGGAAGAATCCTCTGGAACATACAAAATCTTAAGGACTATTTTTTTGTTGACAGCATCTGCACAGCGGATCAAAGTACTGTTCAGTTTGGAAGTTCCCAGTTAGAGCCGGCTATTCAAATGATTTGCTTTTGCGCCCTAACAGACTTTTGAATTTTCAAGATTATCTGACTCCATTGTTCATCTTCGTAGGCAACTTTTCAAACTTCTCTCATGTTTCTGAATGAATTCCAGTCCTAGTTGAAATAGTATTCGAAACCCTTGCAAATTTTATTAATTGCAATTAAATCTATGAGCTCTATGTTGCTTTCAAAAAACTATCCGACTCACCAAACACCATCAGAACTGTTTGTTTTGAGAGAGAATCAGAGGGGGACCGTGAACAAACAAAGAGGTAGGGAGGAGGGAGATGTGGAGGGGACCGACAAAATGACTGGAAAGCAGAGTATAGCAGAGCTGGAGAGTACAGATGGAGGGTTGGACAAACTTCGTCAACCACTTAGTTCCTTCGAACTCCGACCTCGTCATATCGTCACTGAATTACCATCGACCCAATGGCACTTCGACCGTACCAAGGAGGACGTTTTGAGGTAACTAACAATGTTTGGTATCAAAACAGCCTTAGCCTATTTCTCTTGGCTTAGGAAATCGGATCCGAAGAAGCACATACGATCGAAACGTTTGAACGACGCATTGGTGGCACTCCATGCAGCGAAGTAGGGTAGAGTTTTGTCTTTTTCTGTTAAGTCGTTATTTCATATTTTTTTGACATTATGTACTGTTGAAAAAGTGATTTTTCTCAACAATTTCCTTTACGAATGTCTCAATATTGAATTAGCCATTTGCGATGGCTTCAAAATGAATCTGCTGGACGAGTTATTCTGGAAGGCGGACAATGCCCTTTCAGGAAGTATTGCGGTGAACAATACTGCGATTTTTTTAGGCCTACAGTTTGTAGGCAGCTAACAAAAACTGCTTCCTAGGTCCGCCTATGTTGAAATCCTTCATTGATGTGTTGTTAATAATAACAACAAAGAAAAACAAAAAATAAAAAAACAGTGGAATAAAAACATTCGGGATAAGGCTAGGTCTCAGAGAGCGTTTGTGGATATATGACGAAGGCCACTAACCATCCAAATGGTCCCGTAAGTGATGGATTTCATCGGCTACGTGACTATGGTACACCATTGTGCTGGCCCCCTTCTTTCAACAACTTGTTCTCCCACTTTGCTGGGATGCATTTAGTCGAAATGTGCTGAAAAGCACTGAAGCTCAGAAGCATTCTTATCTTTCAGCCATGTATGGTTGTTTTGTTGGGGAACATCGGAAAATATACCAGGGTATCACGTCTTTGTAACATACACTCATTATTTTTCCAATCTGACAATTACTAATTGTTAAGCATTCTATTAATTTCAGCCAAAACGAGAATACAGCAGCCAGGAACACACCGAACGACGAACCTTCGGACGTGATGAAAACGGCGAAATTGTCGTGAAAATCGAAAAGAATGTAAGGTTCTCGTCAACCAAGATTCTGACAGTCTTCTTTACTTTCTCATCTTTCCAACCAGTCCTACGTTTGTTCATTTGATCTTTTTGAAATATGTTTTCACGTGTGCAACTCTATTTGTACATTCCACAGCAGATAATGCTGCTAAACAAGAAACCACGCGAACCTTTACGCCCACCCACCTCACGGCCCCACCTCACCTTTGAACACTAACTAATCTATTTCACCGAATTTGGGCTAGTTTGTGTTCCAAGGGGAGGTAAGGGCATGGGATGTATGGGCGTAACTTGCTGAGGTCGAATAATAAATTAATGTTCAGAATTTTCGTGCCAAATTCTGAAATTCCAATTCAAAGTAGCTAACCGACTTGCTGTTTTTCAAACCTTTACAATTTCTACAAATATCTAGTCAGCATGCTGACTATTGACAGAAATGGACTCAATGGCTTAACTGTTTCCTGCCAATTTGTTTCATTCGCGTTCGTCAGATATGACGTTTTTTCTCGCAAACTTCCTAGTAACTTCTCGTCACGTTCAAGCTCCGAAATTTCGACTGCATTTTCTTTCATCTTATCTTCAGTTCAACATTTTGGAATAAAACGATTCTTACTTTCACGAATGGAGTTCATTTTAAGCCACGTGACCCAGTCCGTCCGGTTTCGCCAGTCCTTCCAGTGGAGCCTGTTGGTAATCATCGTCACGCCCATCTTTTGAAGCCGATACAACCTCTAACCATTCCACGAATCGACGTCCGCTCTGCGACACCATCGCATGACGGCTCCTGGCACAGTCAAGGTTTGATTATGTTCTCATCTTTAGCCTAACCTACATCAAAATAATGGCTTTTGTTCGAACGGCTTCCTCTTTGAATGGAAGCAAAGCAGCTTAACTCATTGAAAACAATATGCAAAATCAGCTCTGCAAATACATCCTGTAAAATGCAACCGGTCATATTCAGGGGAGGTGGTGTAGTTTCAAATGGCGCATCGTCACCCACTTATGGTCAGTCTAGTCCCGTATTCATATCCGCTCTGGCCGACTATGCCCTCCATCTTCAGGGGTTGGTTTTTTTGGGTGCCAAACACGTCTGGGAGGATAAAAGCACAGATGAAAACTCCGGATGGCTACCGGCATTCATTGCCAAGCACGCATTCCATATGCCACTGTTATTGTGAATTGAAGTTGAATGCGTGGGCGCATCCCTCAGAAGGGATTGGTTAGCGCCCAAAGGATTATTCTTTTCGTCTTTCATTTTTAGCACATACTTTTATTGGCCGAATAAGTAGCTGCTCATTTCACAAAAAAAGCTGCCACCTGAACGCATGACCCCGAGGTCGAAGTCCGTGATAACATTTCGGGGAACATTTCGAAAAAATTTCAAGTGACCTTGATTGAGTCATTTCTTTAGCAGTGCAAGCACAAGGGCCTCCATTTTAACGACATTGCTGACAAACTCACGCGATATATGCTAAGTATGAACCATAATTTCTAAACGATACTTACAAGTTTCAGGTCCTATTACCCAACGTTCCCACTATGTGACGTCTCCGTCTCATAGCGCAAATGTTTCACCGAGGAGCGTGAGCTTTTCACCTCAAAGCAATTCCAGTGGAGGATCTAATAAAAGCAACCCGATGAAAAAGGTAAGAACACAGCAAACGCGGTTGCTCGATGCTTGAGGCTCAACATTATTTAAACTGTAGACGAGAAAGCCTTGAAGCTCCTTTTCAATCGGTTGTGAATCTGTAAATTGAAGAGGGAATGCTTTGGCAGGCACTTGTTTGTGATAAATTTGATGAATTGATTTGATGTAAAGTCCTTTCTCTTGACCTTTTTCCGTGGTGTAAGCTGAGGGTAACCCTCTATGATTGCAAATCACAGATCTTTTTCAATCACTGGTATATGTTCCCTCCATTCCCATCAAAGTAATGTGAATTCTCTGTCACGAAGTAGTTTGAATAGCAATTATTTTATCAGTAAATTATGTATTCACTTCCTGCGCTCTTTTGGAACACTTTAGACAAATTATTGCTTGATCAGATAATTCAGTAGCCACAAGTGTAACGCTGAATAGAACAGAGTTGATAGTGACTCGGATGGATTAGCATGTTAGGTCAAATCATTGAGAAGCCTTTGTATACCTGTCTATAAAAATTACGATGCACCCCCGTAAAAACATCAGTTACCCCGTATACTATGGCTCTATATGAATGAGTATAGCCACGCTACCTTTGCCAGACTTTTTCCCTCTAATGTGCAATTTTCTAGCTAAACCTTTGAATCTCAATAGAGGGCGGAGGTGGTGTAGTGGCAAGTGGCGCACTATATCGCACGCACGGTCAGGGGTTCGAATCCCGGATCGATG